ATCATGAGATTTAGAGACCTTCGTCGGGGGATCTGGATCTAGATGACCTTTTTCATGAGATCTAAACTACGTAGGCTGCGAGATCTAGATGGCCTTTGTCGTGAGATCTAGATCTAGACCACGTTAGTCGCGAGATTAGATCTAAATCACGTTGGCCATGAGATAAGATCTAGACAGCCTTGGTCGCGAAAGCTAGATCCAGACCATATTGGTCTTGAGATCTAACCTCATGGTCATGAGATCCAAAGTCATGGAATGAAAATCAATATGAGGCCATGAAATAGACCACGTCCGAGATCTAAACCAACCAGAACATTGCACGCAAGAGGGCAAGCCACGCGAACGGATGTACGCGAGAGGGCTAGCCACGGGGAGAGGAAGCAACAAAATAAGACTAAGTTTGATAGACCAGGTTGGTCATGAGATTTAGACGACCGTCATCGTGGGATCTGGTAGGTCATGTAGGAAAGGAGGCAAGAACCAAGGCTTAAATTCCAAAAGAGAGAGGCACCTGGGCAGTTAACGGAGAAACTAGCGATTATTCCACGTTCAAGGACACATCAGTTACGTCTGAGGAAGGAGGGAAGCAAATCTTTTGGAAGTTACTCTACATAAGGTTTTCTACGACGGTTACTGCCTCGTGGCATTAAATAGGAGGAGAAGTTGACAGAGAAGAGGTTCGCTAAATTTACACTAGACAACACAATGTCAACTTTTATCTTTTTATCTTTCCTATGAAACTTTTAGCTATAGTCGTAGGGCTAATTTAATGTTGACCACAAAAATAAGACTAAGTTTGATAGACCATGTTGGTCATGAGAACTAGACGACCTTCATCGTGAGATCGGGCAGGTCAAGGTGAAGAGGAGCCAAGCACCAAGACATCAGTTCCAAAATAGAGAGGCACATGGGTGGTTAACGAAGCAACTAACTATAATTCCACGTTCAAGGTCACGTCAGCTACGTCTGAGGAAGGAGGGAAGCAGTTCATTTGGAAGTTACTCTCCATGCACTTTTCAACGACGGTTACTACCTCGTGGCTATAAATAGGATGAGGATTTGACCGAGAAGAGGTTCGACAAATTCATTCCATACAACTCAATGTCAACTTTTATCTTTTTATCTTTCCTGACCAACTTTTAGCTATAGTCATAGATCTGGAGCCTTCATTGAACCTCCAAAGGAGTAGGGCTAATTTAATGTAGACTTGTCTTGTGAGTTGTGTAAACATTGAACACCCTCATTCTAACTTTATTTGAAGAGGTGTGAACTATGTTAATTCCATCATTTTTCAAGAAGTCAAAGTGAAATCAATTCGATTTCCACGCAAGTTTTCTCACTGAAAAACAATTTGACATGTTCCAATGCGAAGAGGGATAGTGAAGCTACCTGAATCCTGTTGCTTTTGAGGCAACTTGTTTTGGATGATAGCTGAGCACTCCGCGCTCATAATGGTTGAGGCTAGATCTTAAAATTTACGCTTCTTCATGAGAAGCCCCTAAAGAATCTTTGCATACCTCACCATTTGTGCCATTGATTCCAAGATGTTGAGCTTTTTGAGAATCTCCATGTATTTCCCGAACTCCGCCTCCAAACGATCCTTGTGAACTCTTGAAGAGAAAGAAAATGGAGGCTTGTACTCAGCCACGAGATGTGGCATCGGTTATGCAGTTTTAGCCTCTTCATCCTCTCCTTCTAAAGGAATTTGTTCATCGAAATTTGTAGGGGCTTCTTCCTCTTCAATCTTTTCTTCTGTCGCAACATCTTGAGTTACCTTCCCATTTCTTATTATAATAGCATGCACTCCGGCTCTTGGATCTTTGGGCATAGCCATGGTTGTGAAGATAAGGCTCCTTTAGTTCTCACGGTGAGGATTTCGACAAGGTTGCCGATTTGAGTCTCCAAGTTTTGAAGACTTGCTTGATGACTTCTTAACCCCACCTCAACCAAAGTAAACTTGTTTTTTGAAACTTCCGTGAACTTTTCATTCTTCTCAAACTTTTGAGAACTTTTACTCACAAAGGTTGTGACTAGGTCCTCAAGGTTTGAGACCCTATCATGTTGTTTTTGTTGTTGAAACCCTTGCACATCCTATAGTTGGTATTGTTGTTGTTGGAATTTTGAAGATTGGAATTGTGGCCTTTGAAAAAATGTAGGTCTTGGTTGATAACCTCCGGTTGGCCCTTGGAAACCAGTAGCTTCGGATTGGTTGGTGGAGACCATGCGAAGTCGGGATGATTGGGCCACCCAGGATTGTATGTGTTTCTATAGGGTTTGTTGTTAGGATTGGCCCCCCTAGCATTAGAAATAAAGTTCATTTGTTCTTGCGGAGTGCTTGCCTCCCTCATGATTTGACATTCTTCAAATCCATGGTTAGGACTTGAACACCAATCAACAACCATAACCGAGCTCTTCCCTTGCTTCCTATTATGCAATATCACCCTAATCAACTCATCAATCTTTGTCGCTAGTTGAGGAGTTTCTTCGGTGGAGTGCACTCCCCTATCACAAATATTCCTTCCACGCCTTGTCATCCCCCAATCATAGCCCTTAGCGGCTACTTCTTCAAACAATGCAGTCATCTTGTTGAGCATATTCTCTTGGAAAAGAGAATAAATAAGAGTCTGATCTTCTTATAAGAGACCATTGTAGAATGTTTCAATCCGGAATCGCTCTCCAAAACCATGGTCTGGACATTGGTGAAAGATATCGGAGTACCTCTCCCATGCATCTCTTAAGGTTTCATCAACGTCTTGAGCAAAGTGAGTGATCTTCTTTCAAAACTCCGCCGTTTTGGAAGGCAGGCAATACCATTTCGTGAACTTGGTAAGCAAATCTCCCCATGATGTAATCAAAAGTGGAGGTCTATTGTCGAGCCAACTTCGTGCTTTCCTACTAAGTGAGTAGGGGAAAAGTCTCAACAGAATGGCGTCTTAAGGTACACCGTTAATCTTGAAGCCATCCGTAAACTCATAGTACGGTTGATGTGCTCCCACGGAGATTCATCTTCAAGTCTGTGGAATTGGATATTTTTCTGAATCATGATGAGAGGCCCGTCTTGATTTCAAAGTTAATGGCTGCCACGGGCAGGTGAAGAATGCTCAACTGGATGTCAGCTACCAATGGAGACATGTAATAGCCCATCATCCTGGCTTCATCACCTCCATGTTCACCTTTGTTTGCTATCTCAAGGTTCTGAACTTCAACTTCCTCTTCAAGTTCAACCCTTGGTTGTCCCTGAACGTGAGCCTTTCTTTTGCTTCCCTAAATTTCCTCTCCTAAGCTAGGAATCAGAGAGTACAACTGATGTTATTGTCGAGAGGTGCAAAAGGTGTCGGGTTGCTTTGGGTCATACACCTCCTGTACACACTTCACAAAACACAAGCCAAGCAAGCAAAATCCAAACTAAAAAATCCAAAAATGAAATGTTATATTAACGAAAAAACTACTTTTCCTAAATAACAGACCGTGTTCCCCGACAACGGTGCCAGAAAAACTTGACTCGAGTTTTCACTACACTTAATCCCAATTATAGGCCAAGTGCAACCTATAGAGATTGTAGGATTGGGTAAGTATTTCAATATCAACCCGGGCTCTCTATTTTCCCTTACTTCAATTATATAGCGAACATAATGTAGTTAAACCTAAGAAGACTAAACAAATTAAATAAGCAATAAACTGTGGTGAGTTCGATTGGGAAAGAATCACATGGATATTGCTCCCCTAGTCACGTGTCAAGATACAATAATCAAACTCTAGTGTGATAGATAGGATCATATACCCATAAGAGATCACAATTAGCTAAGGAAACCCCGAAGCCTCTCAATCGATCGATTACAGATTCTCACGATTAGCTAGGAAACCCTAAGCCTCTTAACCGATTGAACAAGGTCTACAAAATCACCTCCTTGGAAAGAAATTTGGAATGGAGAAAAACAACCAATTAAGACGATACCATGGTGCTAATTAGATGAATGAGGAATGGTTTGAATTACCCTAGAGTAGGTTTCCAAATTGGCAAAAGTGGGCTATGAGGTGATTTCCTCCTTCTAGGTCAATTTGGCCAACAATTGAGATATGATCAACAACACTCAACTTCCATGAATAATACCTCAAACATTGTATTAATCACAAACCCAATACACATAGAGTTCAATTCCTACAATCTAACACATCTTGTTGGGTGATCAAGCGTGAGACCTTAGCTTCTCCTCGAACCTGAATCCCTAAATTTTCTTCTCAGAAACACGAAGGTGAGATAGCAGTACTTGACAAATAATGAAACGGAGAAATTAAAATGAAATTAATTTTAAATGAAAAGTATCAAACACACCGAGTGGGCATGTTGAAGCTTCTCCTCAGTTCTCATGTTCTTCGATGTTTCTTGCAAAACAAAGTTGTCCCTCCAAGCACGAACATAGACAAGTATAAAAGAACTACAGAAGAGAGTACACTAATCCACGGTCGAAGGTCCTCAATCGAGTCCTTCGACGTTTCACTATCGATCTATATCAGAATAACAATTACAGCCAATCTCACTGCAACTCTACCCATGGAACTGCATTTTTATACATCAATTTCTTCCGACTGTTTCTCTATAATCTTCCCTTGATTTGCCTGATTCTCCGCTTGATTTGCAGCAAACTTTCCTTTCCTGAGGTATCTAAACGTTGCTGAGAGAACTTTCCTTCTTGAGATGTTTTGTCTTTTTTTTTTGCGGCAAAAGACATTGGCAAGCTTCAGTCAACATGCTCCCCCTAATGTTGTCAATGGCTCCTGTTGCTGCACTGATTCTCCCTACACACACTTAACAAACTATTGGTGCAGTCTGTTCTCACACCAGAATGTTAGTGAAGTAAAAAGGGAAGCTCTTACTTTATTTCATTCAATAGAAGTGACATACATAATTCATTCAAACCAAACAAAGACAACTAACCGACATGACACACTTATCTAACCAAGACTGCTCCCCCTAAACCTATTACTTCCTACCTAGGACCTTAGAAGGGGTACTTAGGAGGAGATTCATAGTCTGAGATATCATCTTCAGACCCAGAATGTGAGGACATAGGATCAAAGACTTTGGAGAAGGCTCTGCCTCATCCTCCAGTTCTCCTTGAGAAGCTTGCAGAAATTCCAGACGCTCCTTGCTCAGTAGCAGGCTCAGCGAAGCTCTGCTCATGGAGTCTTGTGCGGACCCATCAGTTCTGTTTCACAGAACTTCAGCATCGATGGCAGAAACCGCAGCCTTAAGGAATGCTGGAACCAGTTCATGTGGCGCCTAGTGCAAGAACCAGTTTATATGGCTCTTCAAAGCCAGGATGAAGTGAGCAGCCAACTCCCCCCCCCCCCTGAGCCAGAGACGAGCTTACGACGGCCAACACTAGCATCCAAGCGATTGAGAATGTGATTCAAGCACAGATCTTCGAGAACATTACACATAGTGACTTTGTCACGCAGATAAACCTTAATCGATTCAAAAGATGAGTGACGAGAGGCCCAAAAGGAAGATTCCCATTATAGTTACCATCGTCAAAGTGGAGCATGTGCATAAAGACTAAGGAGGCGTAGCTGATGGGTTGACAAGCTCGAGCATTGGAAATAATCAAGAGATCGGTATGGTGGAGAACGTCCAAGCTACGTAAATCACGAGGAAGCCAACATCGAGTGATGAACCAATGAAACACTTTCAGATCATCCGGCAGAAGTCCAGCAGCCAGATGGAGAGGAAAGTACCGGCTGGTATCAAAGGTAAGCTGAGACAGTGAGGCAGTGGAATCAAACCCCAGGTCGTGAAACTCCCCATCGAACCCAGCTTGATGTTCAAAATGAGACAGCGAAAGGACATACGCAAGCAAATCAGGTGTCACCTTGATTTTGTGGTTGAAAACCACGGTAGTGAAAAACGAAGGTTCAGGACCCAACCCCTGTTTGATACTCACATAGAACATCCTGACTGCTTCAGGACAAAAGCTGAATCGTTGGTCTTCAACCAAACAGCTCCATCCAAGTCCATTCCGTAGAGAAGGAATGTTCATGCCATACTTATTGAAGGTTGAATGTTGAATAGTGAAGGAAGGGTGAATAGGACGATCACGAAAAATACGCAGATACCTAGCATATTCATGACCCGTCCAAAAGCCTTGGTTGTTGAGTTCAACCGCAGGATGCAGTTGGGGGAAATGGTACAGGCTCACAAACAACCTAGAACTCTCTAAGTTAGGATCCGCGATACAAAAAAAGAAAGAAAAAACACTAAATAGGATGAAACTCGGTCCCGATACAAAAATCATGATAGCGTCCTTGGGAAACGATAGTGGGGGAACAACTTAGGATCTGCCGACAGTATTTTGAGATGGACTGCAAAATGGTGGGCAAAGGCAATGATTTGTGCAAAAATCCAAAGACGAAAACCTAGCGAACAATAACTAAACACAAAGGCGATGATTTGTGCAAAAGGTCATAGAAGAAATCCTAACGAACAATAAAAAAAACACAAAGGCGATGATTTGTGCAAAAAGCCATAGACGAAAACCTAACGAACAATAACTAAACACAAAGGTTGTATAATGGAGAGTGGGGTAAAAGAAAGATTTGGAACTTCCCCACTTGCACTTGGAGGAGTGTGAGAGCCACTAATGAATAGTAACTCCCATGTTAGGCTTTTATATATTTTTTCGAGATGGGCTTCAAAATGGTGGGCATGCGATGATTTGTACAAAAAGCTATTGACGAAAACCTAGCAAGCGATAACAAAACACTAAAGAGTATGAAACTTGGTCCAAAAACAAAACTCGTCTTGGGAATGATGATGGGGAACAACTCAGGATTCCGTCGACATTATTTCGAGATGGGCTACAAAATGGCGGACAAAGGCGATGATTTATGTTCAAGTTAGGATACCCATGTGTTTGGGTTCAATTGTGATCATGCTCAACAAAAAGGAAAAAAAGAAAGAAAAAAACACTAAAGAGGATGAAATTCGGTCCAGATACAAAAATCGTGATAACGGCATTGGGAAATGGTAGTGGGGAACAACTTAGGATTCCACCGACAATATTTCGAGATGGGCTGCAAAATGGTGGGCAGAAGCAATGATATGTGCAAAAAGACATAGACGAAAACATAGGGAACAATACCTAAACACAAATGTGATGATTTGTGCAAAAAGTCATAGACGAAAACCTAACGAACAATAAAAAAAACACAAAGGCGACGATTTGTGCAAAAAGCGATAGACGAAAACCTAGCGAACAATAACTAAACACAAAGGCTGTATAATGGAGAGTGGGGTAAAAGAAAGATCTGGAACTTCCCCACTTTCACTTGGAGGAGTGTGAGAGCCACTAATGAATAGTAACTCCCATGTTAGGCTTTTGTATATTAATTAATATATAGCTCCTTGGGAAACGGTAGTGAGGAACAACTTAGGATTCAGCCATCAGTATTTCGAGATGGGTTACAAAATGGTGGGCAAAGGCAACGATTTGTGCAAAAAGCCATAGACGAAAACCTAGCGAACAATAACTAAACACAAAGGCGATGATTTGTGCAAAACGTCATAGACAAAAACCTAACGAACAATAAAAAGCACAAAGGCGACGATTTGTGCAAAAAACAATAGACGAAAACCTAGCGAACAATAACAAAACACAACGGTTGTATAATGGAGAGCGGGGTAAAAGAAAGATCTGGAACTTCCCCACTTGCAATTGGAGGAGTGTGAGGGCCACTAATGAATAGTAACTCTAATGTTAGGCTTTTATATATTAATTAATATATTAATAGCGCCTTGGAAAACGGTAGCGGGGAACTACTTAGGATTTCGCCAACAGTATTTCGAGATGGGTTGCAAAATGGTGTGCAAAGGCAATGATTTGTGCAAAAAGCCAAAGACGAAAACCTAGCGAACAATAACTAAAGACAAAGGCGATGATTTGTGCAAAAAGTCATAGACGAAAACCTAATGAACAATAAAAAAGACAAAGGCGACAATTTGTGCAGAAAGCCATAAACGAAAACCTAGCGAACAATAACTAAACACAAAGGTTGTATAATGGAGAGTGGGGTAAAAGAAAGATTTGGAACTTCCCCACTTGCAATTGGAGGAGTGTGAGATTCACTAATGAATAGTAACTCCCATGTTAGGATTTTATATATTAATTAATAAATATATCAATGACTCCCGTGTAGAAATTGGTGAAAGTGTGTGTAAGGGGAGACTTCCACCTACTACATCTAGCCCCCTTACACCTCTTTTCCCCGCACGAGGCTTTAGACATCTGCTCCGGCATGGCCGGTAAGAGCCGGGCTTCCTCATAACCTTTGCTAGGTGGGAGCCCTGTTTTTTTAAATTAATAGGCTGGAACACATGCAAAAAGGGAAAAAAAAAAGAAAAAAGAAGAAGAAGAAATGAGGTTCCAACCATCTTTAAAGAAAGAATAGAGCACCTAAAAAGTGATTCCATGATTTTTTGTTTTTGAGAGTTTTTTTGTCCACGAATCATTTTTCTTACGTCTGCTTGACATGATACCGACTCGGGACTAGAGTTCTCCCCGAAGGGGCAAGGGGAGTCTCGTGCATGGGTTGACCTTGTAAGCTGCTAAATGACTTAGGACGTCCTCTACCGACGATCCGGGTTGCATGTTGCTATGAAGGTCTGGGAAGTTGCATTGGTTTGAGTTAGGTTTGCTTGGGGACAAGCAAACGGTTAAGTGTGGGGGAATTTGATGACTACATATTTACACATGTTTTTACCGTTCATTTCTTGATTGTTTAGCTTGTTGTTTATCACTTCTTTGGCCTATTTTATGCTAGTTTGTGTTCCTTTGTATCATTTAAGGTCCTAACACATAAAGTGAAGTATAGACACAAGTTTCAAGTCAATCGGAGATCAATTGGCGACTCGGGGGAAGAAACTCAGGCATGACCTGAAGAACCTCATTTTGTGACCAGATAATCATGTAAGCTTGTCATGAAAAGCAAAAGAACGATACTATGAGCGTCTGGGATTCATATTTGTTAAATACCCGATCAGTAGGTTAAAATTACACGACAGGTATTTTGAAAATCTGATAGGGTATTTTTTATCAGAAGACCCCCCGGTCAGGAGGTGTAAATACCCGACCGGGTATCTGGAATACTCGATTGGGTATTTCCCCATTGACGCAGAAAAGTGAACCAGAGCATTTTGAAGATCCCCGGTCCCCAAGTACAATTACCTGACCGGGTAATATGACCAGGGAACTTCCAGAAGTGGGTATAAAAGTATGTTTTGTGCGTTTTTGGAGGGAGAGAGCTGGGTTTTGGATGCCAAACACCCAAAGGACGAACCAAGGAGAGAGATGCCGATCTAGAACCATTCTAGGAGCTATTTTGGAGGATTCTTCACCATTGAAGCTCAAGGAACAAGTCTAGACATGAAGATTGAAGATCTAGTAAGTTATACTGCATTCTCTCTCTTCTCTATGGAGTAACTTCCATTCACTTAGGTTGCCAAGTTTGTTTGATTGGATGATTCTATGTGTAACCCTACTTGATAATCTTGAGTTCATATTCAATTTATGTATGTGTTCATGATTCAATTATGCTTTAGTCGAGATTATTGATTCCGCTTTGGTCCTATGAGAGCGAATACCTGATTAGGTCAATATGGCACCATGGATTGATAGTATTGGATCGATTGCTTTAGTCGAGGTTCGATTCACTGGTTTATATCAATTGAGAACATCATTCGATATAGGCAATCTAGTTCAGAACGCCTTGACCAGTTTTTCTAGAGAAGGATACGTCCCTCTAGGCAATCGACTCAAGAGGGCCTTGATTTCTTTAGTCGAGATTCAAAGTCTAGTCACACATGGTGAATTAGAGTGAAACAGGTTAGAGGTCATCAATCATTAATCTGGCTAGTGACTAGGGAGAATCATACCTTAGTGAGTTCCCAACCTATAATTATATTAACTTTAACTATAATTTGCTAGAGTAGTTATAGTTCTTTTATCGTAATATGGTTTGCTAGATAATGAACTGAAGCTGAGTAATAGTAACTCTAGAGACCCAATTATTCGATATTTATTACTTTTTCTACTATACTGCAGTCCTTTTCATTAGTTACACTTGGCCATTATTAGGTGTTTTAGCGAGTGAGAGGAATAGTAGTTGAGTGAGGTTATAATAACAAAAACCATTAAACCGGCCATACTATATAGGAGCCCTTAATAAATAGTGAGTAAGGGAGAAAAGTTCGTATGGAAAAGTAACCAAACAATGTTTTTTTTTAAAATGATTTTCTACAAGCTCAAATTAAAAGCGACTTTGGCCAAAATAGGCCGATTATTCTTTAACCGCATATGCTAATATGCAACATATGTTTGGCCAAAATGAAGTCGAGTCATTATACCATTCACATGTAGTGATATATGCTTTGATTTAATTGCCAAGTTGAACCTCACAGACCCTACCCAAAACGGGATGGTAGCTGGCTAATCCAAATAATTTGCCCATTCTTATTCCCCGCCCGCTACGTACTTGTTAGTAGAGTTTCATTATATCTTCTTCTAGGGAATTCATCAGCCTATAAATAATGGGAATACCATTTTGCCAAATCGCCATTTCTGTTGTACGTACCTAGTTAGCTAGCCTATCAAACATTATCCCCGAGAGTCTTTTGTCATGTCAATGTCCGTCACACTGAGTGTTCTGATGCTAGTAGAGTACTAACTAGTGCCCTCTGCTGTACTTCTAATCCAGAAGAATACTAGCCGAAGATGCTACACGAAGAGTAGGTGGCTACCATGGCCACATCTACAAAGATTAATAATGTAGTTGAACTCAAATGATTCTTGAAATAGTTTGGGTAAGACACCTCCGTAAGTTTTACAGAATAACCGCATATGCTAATGTGCAACACATGTTTGGACAAGATGAAGTCGAGTCATTATACCATTCACATGTAGTGATATATGCTTGAGTTAATTGCCAAGTTGAACCTCAAAGACCCTACCCGAAACGGGGTGGACTGAGGGATAGCTTGCTAGTC